GGCCTTGTCGGGGGGCTGGAGGAAGGCGGGGATGGTGGGGGAAGCCGAACATGATAGCTGCTGACGTCCCGCCCCGTGTCGTGAGTGCTCACCTCACCAGGCCTTGCAATACGGGCTTAGCTGCCCCTAGCAGTCAATGAGCAAAGTCAACTAGAGGGCTTCTCAAGATGGGAGCCTGGTGGCCACCGAGTCCCAGGCTGTCCTCAGCATGCATCCACGGCAGGCAGGGTAGACCAATGCTTTCCTCACAGAGGGTGGGGCAATGCCAGGCCAGCTTCTGGTGGGAGTGGGGTAGGGTAGCCACTGACAGCCCACAGCCGCTGCCCTGACCCGTGCATGCCTCAAGCGAGAGAGATCACTGCCTGGTCAAGGGGCAGATGGAGAATCAGGCTGCCCAGGAGCCATGTGGCAACCTTGCATGCCACAGAGGCAGGGGCAGTCCCTGTGTATGCAGAATGGGGTGGCGTCTGGCTGGGAAGGGGGCTGGGGGAGAGAGACCATTCTAGGTCTACAGCCTCTGCTTAGGCCGTCTGGGTGGGAGGAATCAGGCCGGTTGGCGCCCCCATCAGGGAGGGGCCGTAACACGGCGAGGGGCTCTCGAGGCCACAGGAAGAAATGGCCCAGTTCCTTACAGTTCAGGCTGGTCCTCCCTAGCAGACAGGACAGCTCAGGTGGCAGCAGTGCCTGAGCGTGGTCCCACAACCCGCCTTCAGCTGCAGACCTTGGCTCCCGCCCCCTCCCTCTGGCCTTCTCTGAAAGGTTAATGTGCTTGGTCCCTTGGGGCCACCAAGCAGGGCAGTGACATTAGCGTGCTCAGTGGAACTCGAGTCCCATGCTGGCCTCCTCTGTGGGACGGCTCAAGTCAGCATCGGTCACCTTTGAGGCAGAGGGATGGCATGGGATTTTGCTGGTCATCAGGGAGCCCTGGTGGCACAGTGGGTGGGGCGTTGGCTACTCCCCAGGAGGAAGCTGAGGCTGTGTGCCCCCGTAACTGACAGTGTAGGGCTCCTGCAAGTCAGAATCAGCCCCTGGCCCGGTCGGTCCCTCAGCTGGGGAGAAAGAGGAAGAGTTCGTGAGTCCTCAGAGCAGTGTCAGTCTTGGGGTGCCCAGCACTGCCAGTGGACACACGGGTCTGTGACACCAGTGACTAAGGACTGGCCATCACCAGTGGGCAAGGGGCAGGGAGGGCCTCCCGCACAGGAGGGGGCCCTTCCTGTGTCAACCCCTCATGTTCACTCCCAATGCCAGTAATGCCACGCTGGGGGCCCATCCAGACAAACATGAGCAGAAAGGTGTTTGCCATGCCCTTTTTAGACAGTCACTTGTTCTTGTTGTCAGTGGGAAAGCTCTGAGGATCCAAGACATGGGGGAGTCGTCAGCACACTAGGCGTCTACTCCCTGCCCTCCTTGACCTCCTGTAAGATGAGCGCTCACCCCAGGGAACCCCCCGCCCCCACCTCTTATAGGCGAGGCCTGTGAGCTGGGAAAGGGTGTTGGATCCCCCCCTCATCGCCTAACAGCTGATCCGCTGATCCCATCAGTGTGCAATGGTGACATCGCCATGTAACTGCCAAGTTGGCAGTTTTGTTTGCTGGGGTGGGGGGTGGAGGGTGAGGAGGGACACGCTCCGACCCTCGCACATCCTCAGGACAGAGACTGTAGGGTGAAGATCTGGCCGCGAGTGCACGAAACCCAGCCTGCGTGCAGTTTCCACCCCGCTTTCTGCGGCAAGCGGATCTGCTGTTATGATCAGAACACAACAGCAAATAGAAGACTTTAAAGTCTCCCAGGTGCAACACACACTCAGGAACCCTCCTCCTCGCTCGACCTTGGGCAGCCCAGCCCGATGCCTCGCTTCCCACCCCCACGCCAACCAGGCTGCTGTGGATTGATTGGCAGCCCACAGCTCTGCCCCCCCCCCCCTCTTATTTGGACTGAATCTTGCACTTCTGCACCACATACACCAGTCCCTCTGGCCTCTTGCTTGCCAAAGGGCAGGTCCCCAAAGGCCAATTAGAGCATGCTGGTCCTCTGGAAACACCTGTGTCCGTGCCGAATGAGAACCCTGGTGTTTGCACCCACTGACCGGCTCTTGGCCGTTTTTCACTCGGGGGTCCCTGACATGAGAAACAAAACAACCCCCCACCCCAGCCTGCCACCCTTCCCCTGTGTGACGCACCTTCACGGTGTGCCCACTGCACCGGGCCCATCCGCTTGCGGCAGGAAAAGTCTGAACTAGATCCTGTCCATCAGTCCATCCCTACTCACATCCTTGAGCCTGGGCAGCTGGGGCATTGTGGGGCAGGCACTGGGCTGCCAACCACAAAGCCTGTGGTTCAAGCCCACCAGTCTCCCCAAAGGAGAGAGACGAGGCTGTCTGGAAACCCTGTCGGGTCAGCTCTCCTTGGCCCTCCAGCGTCTCTGGGAGTCAGAATGGACCGGGGCTGGGAGTCTGGGTTTGGTGTTGGGGCATGTCCAAGTCTTTGGACAAGACGCATGGTTTTACTTGCATCTGTGTGTGTATGTGCATATATGTGTGTGTGTGCATGCGCGTGTATGTGTGTGTATATATATATGTATGTGTGTGTGCATGCGCGTGTATGTGTGTGTGTATATATATATATGTGTGTGTGTGCGCATGCGCGTGTATGTGTATATGTGTGTGTGTGTGTAGTGGGTGTTACCCAAATGGAGAGCGTTTCAATTGGTCCTTCTTATCACATAGAAATGAAGCTGAGTCTCTCCTTGGTTTATCAAGCCGTGCTCATGCCCTGGTTTTCCTTGCGTATTTTTAGCTGTTTGTTGTGAATCGGCTGAAGAGTTGCATGGCGAGTCCCTTCTCTCTCCAGCACCCATGCCGAGCCTTTGCTCTTGTGTCCTTGACCACTGTCCCCGGACGGGCCGTCCCTCATGCCCCTTCCCCACCATGGTTCCAAACCCTGTTTCTCCCTCCTTCCTACGCACCCCACCGAATGACGCCCCTGTGCACGTGCTGGCCTCCTCATCTCACACGGTCGGTTGCTCTGTGCCACGGTCCCCCCCCACCCCCACCAGACCTTCTCTGAGCAGTGGAGCTGAGGGGGTGAGCTCAGGCTCCGGCCCGAAGGGTGGCCGAAGGGCCCAGGCTTGACAGTTCCACACATCTTAAGCCAACCCAAAAGCCTGGTCTTTGTGTTTGGAGTTTTGTTCCGCCATTTTCTCTGCTCCTCCTGGCACCTTGTCCTGCGACCCCCTGCAGAGCGGTCAGTGGTGGTAGCCAGGTACCAGTCGGGCCTTCTGGTCTCAGGGTGGTGGAGACCATGTCCTCGTGGCCCGTTAGCCACCACGGCTTATCCTGCGTCTTGAGTTTCCCTCACCCCTCTTTCCTGCAGACTCAGCATGGCCAATAGCTGCCCCTCAGGCTCGGAAGGCCCTACCCACTGCTAACCCAAGTCGGGTGTAGAAAGAACCTCCTCTTTGTGAACTCTGCCAGGTGACCTTGGTGCCCCCCTAAAACTGTGCACCCCCAGGCCCATTGACTGTTCCTCACCGTGCCTGGTTATGTCTGCCGTGGCTGTATATACCTGCACCTGTCAGTACACATTGGAATATCGAGGGGAAGGGGCACCATAACCCAGGCTTCCTCAGGGGGAGATGGTGGTGTAGCCAGGTACTGCTGCCGGGCCAGACAGAGGCCTGGGCATGGTGAGGAAGAGAGTGCACCTGGATTGGGGTGTCAGGGCAGGCATGCAGGCTCCTGTTCCTGCATCCACCTAGTATTTCAGGGACCAACCACGTGTGCTGAGCATTGCTCCCAGCCTGGGCACCGTGGCAGCACCTCAAGGCTCTCCCATAGGGAAGGCAGCACATGAACAACTCCAGAAATGACAGTTTGTGATGAATGCCGGGACCACGGGTAAGAGAGGGGGTTGGGGACAGTGCTGCCAGGGTGCAGTGAACCAGGGAGGCCCATGTCACGCTCCTGCCCAAAGGCTTGGTGGAGCTGGCAGTGCCCAGCGGCCAGAGCAGGGGGCTCCTGAGCAGGCAGGGAGAGCCTGGTACATTCTGGAATCCATCATATGGCCACCAGGGTGGACAACGCAAGGCATGAAGGGTGGCATGGAGGACCCAGTGCTGCTGTGGAGACCTGGAGGGGGAGTGGGCAGTGCATGGACTGAGCTGTGAGCCCCCATGAGAGATGCCCTCTCCTCCCACGATTCTCCAAACCCCAAACCTCCCTGTCATCGAGGCAGTGCTGGGGGTGTCCTAGACCATCACTGTTGACGGGAGTAGAAAGCCCAGTCTTTCTCCCGAGGAGCTGCCGGTGGTTTTGAACTGCCGACCATGCAGATTGCAGCCCCACACGTGACCACGACACCCCCAGGGCTCCTTCCCCTCAGGCCTTGGGCTGGTGCCCTGAATTCAGACTTCTGGCCTCTTCACCTGCAAGAAAGCACATCTGCAGTGAGGATTCTCCATGTGGGGGAGCCGAGACAGGCAGGTAGGGTGCCCTCCACACAGGTACCGGGTGAGGCACCTGTGGGGAGGGTGTAGGGAGAGTCCGCTTTCACCCCCAGAAAGGAGAGTACAGTGGGGAGATGGCTGGCAGGTTTGTATGGGGTGATAGCTGGTGGGGAGATGACCATGGGGCTCAGGGACTGCCTGGACGGCCTGATTTTTCAAGAGGACCCAGAACCCAGATGGGTTCATGTCTGAGGCCCACTGGGCCTTGGCCCCCCTGCCCTACTGCAGGGTGGCATTTCCATCTTGGGTGAACTTGGTCTTCTTGAGGGCTTGAGTCTCTCTGTCTGTGCCTCCATTTCCAAACCGTGTGCACCCCCACCCCCACCTGCCCAGCCCTGCCCAGCACCTCCTGGGAGTCAATGATCTCACCTTCCCGGAGCGGAGCTGTGGTGAAGGACTGATGACCAGGACGCAGGACACAGTGCCCTGCCCTGCGCCACTGCCCACTTCCCATAGCCAGCTGACCAGTCCCTTGTCGTGTTTCTCCCCTCTCTTAGGATGGCCATTCAAGTGGACAAGTTCAACTTCGAGAGTCTCCCTGAGTCCCCCGGGGAGAAGGGGCAGTTTGCAAACCCCAGGCAGCTGGAGGAGGAGCGGCAGGAAGCCCGCGGGCTGGAGATCAACAGCAAGCTGGACATCCGCTGGACCATCATATCCTTGTTGTGGGGCCACGGAGGCATCGGAGGGCATGGGGCCGCGTGCCCACGGGAAGCTCGGGGCACTGCCGGGGGAGGCGGGGTCAACTGGCGGGCATCCTCTCGCCCCGGCAAACCATCCGCCTGGTGGGGGACAGGCCTGGTGGTGGAGCTGTCCCTGCTCGTGTTTGGGGGCCTGGATGTCAGTCGGGTTAGTGATGGGCGCTGACAGCCGTCAGCTCTCACCTGGGAGTTGTCTGGGAAGTGGAAGTCCACCAGCACCACTGACCAGGGCAGCAAGGGCCACACCGTAACGTTGCTGACATGCTCTGGGCTTCCAAAGAGGCCTGGCTTCTAGTGGGCACTCGGGGATTGAGTGAGGTGATGGAGGGACAGAGGGAATGAATAATGAGTGAGTGCATGAGTGAGTGGATGAAGGATGAAGGGTAAGTGAGTGAGTGGGTGAATGATTGAGTGGATAAATGGGTAAGTAGACGAATGAGTGAGTACTCTGTTCCCCCCAAAATAAGACAGTGTCTTATATTAATTTTTGCTCCCAAAGATGCCCTAGGTCTTATTTTCAGGGGATATCTTATTTTTCCATGAAGAAGAATACGGCACACATTTATTGTTGAACAACAAAAAAGGAAATTTATTACCTGTATACGGTACGGTAGTAGTTGTCATCACAAACCAGCATAACCAGACAAACTGAATCCTACAGTATCAAGAATTTCTTGTTTCTATCGTTATTTCTATGTACAACAATCTGTGGTACATTTACTCACACTTCCTGTCTGCTCCGGCTGCACTGTGGGCAACAGTGAGCTGCGCAGCGGCGCCCCGCCCCCCTACGGTCCGGAGTCCACAGAGTTACGGTAGCTTCGGGGGGGCCTTATTATCGGGGAAGCCTTATGTTCGGGGAGGTCTTATTTTGGGGGGATGCCTTATATTTCAGCGAGAGGCAAAACTGTAAGTAGGTCTTATTTTGGGGGGATGTCTTACTTTCGGGGAAACATGGTAGGTGGATGAATGGGTGAATGAGTGAGTGGACGAATGGGTGAGTGAGTGGGTAAACAGGTAAATGAGTGAGTAAGTGGATGAATGGGTGAGTTGATGAGTGGGTGAGTGAGTGGATAAATGGGTAAATGAGTGAGTAGGTGGATGAAGGATGAATAAGTGGATGAATGGGTAAGTGAGTGAGTGGGTGAATAAGTGAGTAGATGAATGTTTGAGTGAGTGGATGAATGAGTGAGTGGACGGATGGGTGATCAAGTGGATCAATGGGTGAGTGAGTGGGTGAATGAGTGAGTGGATGAATGGGTGATAAGTGAATGAATGGGTGAGTGAGTGAGTGGGTGAATGAGTGAGTGGATGAATGTTTGAGTGAGTGGACGAATGAGTGAGTGGACGGATGGGTGATCAAGTGGATAAATGGGTGAGTGAGTGGGTAAATGAGTGAGTAGATGAATGGGTGATAAGTGGATGAATGGATGAGTGAGTGAGTGAGGGGGTGAATGAGTGAGTGGATGAATGGGTGATCAAGTGGATGAATGGGTGAGTGAGTGAGTGAGTGTACACTCTGTTGAGAACCTAGGCCACTGTTCCCTCGTTGAGCAGGACGCACAGAGACTCCCCCTCACCAGGTCCTTAGGAACAGAGAGGCCAGCTTTCTCTGCAGACTTACAGGCTGGGGCACCTGGAAGGGGCCTGGAGGGTCATGGGTGGGGCTGTGCGGAGCACTGGGTGGGCTCAGAGGAGGACATCACATGTGGGGCAGCTGCAGGCAGCTTTGCAGAGGGGCTTTTGAAGGGTGAGGAGAAACTGTCCGGAGCATTCACGGCTTTGATCCACCGAGGGCTACTGCAGATTGCCGGCCTGGCCATGGGCCCCAGCACCCCCTGAAAGCCCGTGGGGCGTTTCACCTTTGCTCATGGGAGCTGGTCCAGGGGACAAGGGTGGGGCTACCCACTGGTGGCAGGGCTGAGAGCAGGCTTGCTCAGAGGCAGTGCTGGTATAAGTGCCCGCTGCCAGCACGGGCTTTTGCCATTCTGTGGCTCTGCCTCTGACCGACGCCGTGGGGCTGCCCCCGGGCACCGAGGACACTGCTCCAAGTTCCGAGGAGGCCCTCAGCCCAGGAGACACGGGTCCTGGGCCTGATACAAGGTCCTTCTTTCAGGCCCATGAGCATCTGGGTTTGTAGGTCCACCTCGCCAAGGACTTGTGACAAAATAGGCGCGCTACGTGTAGGTAGGTCACCAAGAATGACCTGCTCGGGGACCCCGGGAGTGAAGGGAAGCTGCCCCCCACCCCCCGCCATGGAGTTCAAGGCCATGGCCACGTGTACAGCAGGAAGTGAAAATGCAGGCGTCTCCACGGAGCTCAGCACGGGGGCCGTCCTCCAGACTGTCCTGGTGGTTTTGAACTGCTGGCCTTGCGGCGAGCAGCCCAGCATATGACCACCAGGGCTTGGCATCAGGCTGCCCAAGCTAAGGGCCATCAAGCCAGCTCCAACTCCTGGTGGCCCTGTAAACAGGGCAGAGCTGCTCCGAGGCCCTTCCTGGCTGGCGGCTTGCCGAAGCAGGGCCACTGGGCCCTGCTTTCAGTCCTCTGCATGACCTGGGGCCACCACCATCTCAGCTAGTGTGCCAGAGCTTCACGTTCCCGGGGCTGCCACCTGGGGACACCGCTGGGACAGAACTGACCACCAGAATGCTCCTGATCTTGGAAAGCGAGCATCACAAATGTGCCTCTGATGTTTTGGGGTCTCCTTGCTTCTAGGCTGCACACACACACACACACACACACACACACACACACACTCACCTGCCCCGGGGGTGGGTGACAACCTTGTGGCCTATTGTCACCTAATAATTCACACCACAAATAGGGACCGGAGACTTGCCAGGTGCCAGGGGACTTGGCCTGTGTGTTTCCTCATTGGGAGTATTTGAAGGACTTCTTGCCTGGGCCAACCTGAATGTTCCACTGCTTCCAGGGTAGGAAGGTGGCACGTGGGTTCAGTGGGAGGCCAGTGGCATTAGCATGCCCCTTCTCTCCCTTCCCTCCCCCTGCCCGGCATTTGGTACCGACGCCCAGCACAGAGGGAGTCGCAGCAGACACTTGCTATTGTCAACCTCTGTTCAGACAGATGGAAAGCCCAAAGAGGGAGATGGCTAATAATTTCCTCATGCACTTCAGTAATATTTCCTAAATATTTAGACTTTATTAGGAAATCGATCCTGATATGACACCCATCCATAGAGAGAGCGGTGGGGTCTCATGTGGGGCCCGAAGCAGGTACGGCATGTTCTAAGGCAGCAGTTCTCAACTTATGGGTTGCGACCCCTTTGCGGGTCGCCCGATTCATAACAACAGCAAAATGGCAGTGAAGAAGTAGCAGTGAAAGTAATGTTATGGTTGGGGGTCACCCCCACATGAGGCGCTATGTGAAAGGGTCCCGGCATCGGGAAGGTTGAGGACCACTGCTCTAAGGGAAATGGTGCACCGTGCTGCAGCCCATGGACCCTTGGGGTCTCTGGGCGGGGCCTCAGTCTCCACCCAGCACACACACCCTCCCCCAACTGGTCAGCACAGTGAGGTAATTAGGCAAGAGCGGCCAGGTCAGATCACCATGGTGTAGCTGCCAAACTGCTGAGAACCACGTCCCAGCCTGGTGGGCATGGCACCGTGGTGGCCACCACAGTAGATGTAGTTCGCTCTCCACCCCGGCAGACACACACAGCCGACTTGAGCTATAGCTGGACGGTCGGCTTTCCTGATGTTGTCTGTGGGAGGGGGCTGGCGCTGTGGATGGAATTGCTCCCTCTGCGGATAGGGGCTATAAATCCTAAGACACACACACACACCACACCACACTACACCACACCACACCCTGCCCTGGATGGGAGGAGCACTGGGCTAGCACCACCGCTGCCCAGGGCAGTGTGTAGCCCAGGGCATGTGTTTGCTTCACATCTGTGGGTGGTCACATGGGTGGACACGTGTGTGTATGTGTCCGTTTGTGTGTGCAAAGGAGCATGGGTCCAAGTGATTCTGCCCACAGCCTTTCTGCAGCCCCTTGGTCGGCGTGTGCCTATGCAGGCTTGTGCGTGTGCACACGCTCGGTACTTCTGGTGGGACAGGCCCTGTGAGTACACATAGCTTCTGTCACAGAACCATGTGATCCCAGACCCATGCCATGGCACCTACTGAGTTCCCACCATGTTCCTGGGCAGTTCAGTCGGTGCCCTATCAACTAGTTGGGTCAGCATTCCGCAGAGGGGGTAACGGGGGGTCCCGAGAGGTGGACTAGCAGCTTGCTTATCTGGGCGCTCCCTGGACAGCTCCCCATGGGCAGCCGGGTGGCCCCCAGCCCAGGGGCCCGGCTAGAGGTGAGCACCTTACACCATGGCACTCTGAAAGCTCAATGTGCAGATGAGAAGGCAAAGCCACGCCGAGAGGCTCGTTAATCACTTAAATCCGACGGTCCATGCGTGTAATGTCTATTTATGACAATTGACTAATTCATCTGAGCTGAAATGGGCTGGCTCAGCTGCTGCACCTGGAGTGATTCCCTCAGAGCTGGTGTGTGGGTGCTGAGTGGATGCATGCCCTTCTAAGAGCACTCCCTCGGGAACCCCCAGAGGTGGCACACCCCACGTAGGACACCCGCCTGGGACCCTCAGTGATGATACATCTCACTCAAACCACCCACCCAGAGCCCCTAGAGATGGCACTCCCCACTTAAGGCCCCCACCTGGGACCCCCCCAGAGATGGCACCCTGCCCCCCATTCATGGCATGCATCCAGTATGCCCCAGAGAAGGCAGCCCCCTGGGGGTGGTACTCCTAATTAAGAATACTCACCCAGGATTCCCCAGAGATGGTACACCCCTGGAGATGGCACACTCCACTCAGAACACTCACCTGGGACCTCCCTGTACACCTGATTCAGGGTACCCACCTGGGACCCCAGTTTCCAAGACTGTAACTCTTTACTGGAGTAGAAAGCCTCATCTTTCTCCTAAGGAGCAGCTGGTGGTTTTGAACAGCTGACCTTGCAGTTAGCAGCCCAGCACTTAACCACTACCCCCCCAGGGCCCGTGTAACAGATGACTCATGATGATAAATGAGATGTCATCCTTGCCCAATAGATTGGGTTTCTGAAGAGTGGGCAACTCCTTTTCTGGTCTCTCTCCACGAGTGGTTGACCTCATGATAAATTCTTGGCTATGAATCAAGATGCCCCAGTGGTGCCCCGGGTTAAGCCCCGGGCCGCTAACTGGAAGGCTGCCAGTTCAAGCCAACTGCCTACTCCTGTGGAGATGTACAGTCTTGGAACCCCCCAAGGACTGTTCTCCATCCAAGAAGGGCCACGAGGGTTGGCATCGACTTTGTGGCAGTGGGCTTGGGGGACTGGCATGACTGCACATGTGCATGCCCACGCATGCACGCACACCCAGCGCAGCGTCCGGGATGGGAGAGGAGAAAGAGTCCTCTGCTGTGAGGAGAGCAGTCCCACTGGGCTGTGGCATGGCCGGCGACTTCTGAAACCTCACTTCCTTCTCTGAGCGGAGACGCACAAGCCAGCAGCGGGCCTGCTCCCTGCCTGCAGTGGGCAGAGAAGGAAATAGAGCGAGGCCTTGCTGAGTCCCCAGCCCGCCCCCACACCGCGTCCACTCCATCCACAGCGACCCCACAGGACCGCCAAGACACACGTGCCCCCCAGAGCCCTAAGGCTGTCCTCATTCCCAAACCCACGAGCTGACCTTAGGCTAGCAGCTCAAAGGCTTCTCCCAGCAGGCCATTTCTCCTAAGCAGGAGCCCGGCCTCAGGTCACCACCGTCCCTCTGAGGGCGAGGGCAGAGGGTGCCTGGGGTCGAGGGTGGGACAAGTGGTTTCTGGGACGGCGGAGGAAAGGTGCTGGCTGGTGGGAAACTCTGAGGCAAGCTGAGTCTGGTCAGACAGAGTGGGGGGCCTTGCCTTTTCTTAGGGTTCAGAGGCCACAGGAGCCAAGAGTGATCCACTTCAACATGTCCTGTGGCCCGTTCTCTGTCCGTCCCTGCCCTCTGAGCCATCAGCAGCTGGGTCTCTGGGACTAGAGCCCACAGGCTGCTAGGGCTCCTGACTATCGACTTTATTGTCCCTCTTTGCAGTGATGCAGTGCAAAAGAAGTCACCGTCCCTCCCACAGCTCACACTCACTTCCTGCCTCTTCCCCTCCTCCCTGGCTCCCACCTTCCTCCCTGCCACCCCTCCCTGCCTCTGTGTCCCCCTCCCCCGTGGTCTAGGAAGATGGCTTCTGCTATGGAACCATCCCTCCCAGGCACTGGTGGGCCTGCTACAGACAGGCTCACAGAGAAGGCGGCGCTTCAGCACCTGGACAGCTCCTAGGGTGCCTGTCTCTGGGCCCCAGCTGTGCAGTGGGAGCTGGATCCCTGAGGTTCTGCCTGGTTTTAAGACTTTGGACTGGAAACCACAGCGTGTATGGTGTGGTGGGCTAACTGTTGGGCAGCCCACCACATGGTTGGCGGTTCAAACCCTCCAGCTGCTCTGCCGGAGCAAGACGTAACCTGTTTGCTCCCATGAAACAGCCCAGTCTCTAAAGCGCTGTGTAGGGCAACTGAGCATCAGAGTCTCCTTGATGGCAGTGAGGCTGGGGTTTGGGTTTTGGATTTTAATGATTACTCATTTCCCATCCGCCATCCTCTAACGTAATTTGAAAATGTTGTTCGGTGGTGTCCAGTCAGTCTCCCCACATGACAGTAGAGCTGCCCCTTGGGATTTCCTGGGCCATCATCTGTCCCAAGTGGTTGCCAGCTCTCCTGTGGAGCAGGGGGTGCAACTGCTGGCCAGGGCTCCCCAGCAGTGACCCTCGAACAGTGAGTATTGGGCAGTGAGCACTGAGCAGCGGCTATTGAACAGTGAGTTTTGATCAGTGAGCATTGAATGGTGAGCATTGAGCAGTGAGCGAAGATTGAGCAGTGAGTATTAAACAGTGAGTATTGAGCAGTGAGTATTAAACAGTGAGTATTGGGCAGTGAGTATTGGGCAGTGAGTATTGGGCAGTGAATATTGAGCAGTGAATATTGGGCAGTGAGTATTGAGCAATGAGTATTGGGCAGTGAGTACTGGGCAGTGAGTATTGAGCAGTGAGTATTGGGCAGTGAGTATTAAACAGTGAGTATTGGGCAGTGAGTATTGGGCAGTGAGTATTGAACAGTGAGTATTGAGCGGTGAGTATTGGGCAGTGAGTATTGGGCAGTGAGTATTGAACAGTGAGTATTGGGCAGTGAGTATTAAACAGTGAGTATTGAGCAGTGAGTATTGGGAAGTGAGTATTGGGCAGTGAGTATTGAGCAGTGAGTATTGGGCAGTGAGTATTGA